AGCACTTTTAGAAAAATACTTTTATGAAAGCACTTTTAGAAAAGTACTTTTTGAAAGTATTTTTACAAAAGCACTTTATGAAAGTACTTTTATGAAAACACTTTTAGGAAAGTACTATTATAAAAATGCTTTAATAAAAGTACTTTTGTAAAAATGCTTTCATAAAAGTGCTTTTAAAGGGTATATTTTGAAAAATTGAAAGACAAAGAAAGACAAAATAGCCATAAATACTTATTTAAATTCTTATTAGAGAAAAAAGCTATCAAATGTCCAATATAAAATAAGTGTTTATTTTAAAAAATAAATACTTGAAAAAATTGGATACCCAATACAAATACATGATTATTTGAATAAACACTTATTTTTAACTTAAACACTCTCAAATATGGCCTTAAAGCCCAAATCACTTAACAACTGACTCCATGTCATACAGTTCATGGTTGATGTTGAGTATTATCATTGGCTAAACAGCACCTAGCACAGCAATCAAGTGCAGCTAATCTGGTCTCATTATAGATTGTACTGAATGTGTAATCAGGCTCACGCTACCAACTTGCAGGATTTAAGTCTCCAATTTGCAGCTCTGCTTTTCTTCATCCTCAACCAACTTTGTGGAGATGCGGTTGGGACATTTAATTTGGGATCCAGTTAATGAGTAGTTACGGAGAAAGAAGATTATTACTTCTGCTCCAAGGCCGACGAGTAGGTTGGCAGTTCACAGCTGGTTTTTAAATATATTATAAGTCAGCTTACGGTTTCGGAGTCCATAGACACATTCAGTGATAACACCCTGGAGGAAGAATATATCTGTGTTAGACACTTATCATTCAAGTGTGCCTTTTAATTCACTCCATGACTTAAAACACACTTGAAGGACAAGTGTCACACAGTCACACACTGTGTCTATTAGATCTCGGGTCTAGTAGGTACATCCTTGCAGTACACTAAGGTGGTGTTTAGGATTGGTATTGATTTTTGGGGTTTTTATGATTCAGTCCAATTTTAGGTGGAGTTAGGATTTCCTAGGGGTGGATTGAATCCTGCCCATAAATTGATGTCAAATTTATGAGCAGGATGTGGTTTATAGGGGGGCTCCTAATAGATTAGGAGGGGGCCGAAAAAAAAAATTCTGAAGGGGATTGCAGTCCACCTTAGAATCACATCAGTAATTCAAAAATTGCTGATTATTTTTGGTGTCTGGTTGGCTGATTTATGGTATTTTAATTTGGTGTTTGAGAAATGGGTCGGTTTATGGTATTTTGGTGTTTGATGAGAAAATGATTGTTAAAGTTGGGCTGAAATGAGAAATCAACAAATTAGACGATTTCTATTTTTAAATTGATTTTAATTATTTTTGGATAGTGTAGCATCTGATATGAATAAGAGAAATAGTTCTTATGAATACAAAAATCATTGCTAATAGTCACTACCAAACAAATTCATAATTGACATAACAGCAATGGTACCAAACAAACAATTTCTATGATTTCTAAGAAATCAGTGATTTTAGAAACCAATGAGTTTTGAGAAATCTCATCCAAGGAATCTGCATTATTCCAAACATCTCCTAAGTGATCACTCAATTAATATTCTGACAGTTGTCTTGTAAATTTGCTTTTAATCTTTCCAAGGGTAGGCTAGAGATACTCATGGGACAGGTGTCAAGAATTTCTCCCATTGATTAGTTGTATATATGTTTCCCTTCCTTTCCCTACCCTTTCCTGCAAATCAAACACAACCTCACTGTGTGTGCTTCAAACCAAACACAACCTCTCTTGCAAGTACATCATCTGTTACATAGGCTCAGTTTGGTAAAGATATAAATATATGTTGAATATAAATAGAAGGTTTAGCAATATAAAATACAGTGTTTGTAATGTACATATTTGTACTTGTACTGTTACAAAACTGAGACAAAAACCAAGGTGAGGCTTTAGTATTTGTTAGAAACCTCATGGGAAGTCTAAGGAATTTTCCCACATCATCAAATCACATAAGTGAAATGGGATCGGATTGTCAATGACAATATCTTTCACACATAATATTATCATTTACGGAATGATGTTTCTAATACACAATTGCGCTGCATTATGCGTATGGTGTGAGATATGCTCTTTGAGGAGTATATCCGAATTCAAACAAAATTGTCTTTAGTCATAAATACTGGTGTTCTATATATCTTTCTTTATTTTCCCTCTTTGCTTTTATGATTTATGCTTTCATGGGGCATAGTCCATCCCCATACCCATAACACTCCAACCGTAATGACGGCAGGATTTGATCCAAATATCTTACCAACTGAGTTATCATCAATAGGTAGTTTATTTAAACATTTTTTATTTTCACTTTGTCTTCATGCATAGGATTTAACATAGGCTATGGTTGATTTGATAGAAGAGAGAATTAGAAAGTAGAAAGATGAGGGGAGGTTCTCAAATTTTATGAAATTATTTAAAAATTTCCTTAATTTTCTGTTAAATTACTGTCCAGTATCAAATCAAATGCAGCTTTAATATATCTTCCTTTTTTGTTGCTAAATACTAATAAGGATTACCATGACCTTACAATAGAGCGGGTCCTACTTCTAACCACAAATTTAGTTAGAATTAAGTAAAGGATGCAGCCCAATGCTTCAAAACTGAAAAGAGATGTATATTGTTTGGATAACTGACTTCTATGAGAGGATTCAATGTATGCAAAAAAAAAAAAATGATGGTTAATCAAACAAATATGTATATATATATATATATGTGTGTGTACTAATCGATTTGATTAACCATCATTTTTTTTTATATTAGTTAATCGAAATCAAATCAATATAGGATATGCATGAAAACCGGACGTTTCGTCTTTTTTTCATGCATATCAAACCCGTATTGGGGGCGTATCGATGAAAAAGATACGGCCAAAAACTAAAAAAATTAAAGGGGGAAAGCAAGCTTCTTTTCCCTAAAATAAGCATTCTTTCACCCCCAAATGACTCTAAAGCTCCAAACTTCATTCCTAGAGTGCTAGATTTGCAAAATTTTGCAAGAAACATGTGTGAATCATTAATTTTTTTAAAGATTTTTGAAATTTTGAAAAAATATGGCAAAAATAGGTAAATTTTTTCATTCTTTTATAATATCTTGTGATTTCTTTTTTTTTCTTGAATGTTTAAATTTATGTTGGTGTACATTTCTTACATTCAAAATCATAATTTTTTGTGCTATCAATAGATTTATGGAAATATCATGAAAATATAAATTAACAAAAAATTGAAAATGTAAGTTTTTTCTTTGCCTATAAAGACTAAATATGTTTTAGATCTATGGATTTATCTATCATGTCCATAAAGCAATTGAAATTTTTTTAATAATTATTATTATTTTTTATTTTTAGAATAAAAAAATAAAAAAATAAAAAATTATATTTTATCATTTGATCACAATGATTGAATATATTATAATTCTATGGATGATCTATTATATCCACAATTGAAATTTCTTCTTTAATAACTATTTTTTGAATATATTATATAATGTTTATTTATTTTTATAATTTTTGGAAATGAATAATAAATAATAATTATTTAAACAATAAATAATTATTAATTATATTTTTACATAGAAGTTGTGCCAATGCATGTTTTATGGTTGGATAGGAGAGTTGGGTTTTTCTCATCCCATAAAA